CTCTTGAAAGATCGATGCTTTTCAAGCCGGTTCGTTTTTCTTCGTAAAGTGTACATACTCCACGATAAAATAGTACTATGAAAACACTTGACCCTTGGAAAACGGACATTTTCAGTGAACGGCACGGACAACGGTAAATTAATTATATATGCTGACAAATTGGATTGTCGTGTCACGAAGTAACGACGACAGAACGTCGAAGTTGTTTCATTGTCGTTAGACCCAGCGAACCTGGGTTTCTGGACAGCTGGAAGCCGTATGCGCTTAGATTGTCTTATAAGGTTTTTACTCATTTTTGATAAAGGTTGATAAGGAAGGAAACTTCCCTGGTTACTTTCCGTCTTGCTTGGATGTGTCCCATTAGCCAATTAACCTTAAGGGACATATCAACAGCTTTCACTCACTACAAAAGATTCTCCCCTCTTCGTAGTTTCTCTCACCGCTACATCCAGCTAGAATCTTTCGTCGAAAATCAACCATCGCACAGTCAACATCTGTGTACATACATAGATCACGTATCCTTTCCATTACTCTCCGTTATTAAATCTACTTTGTTAACAAATAGTTACCTACTAAACTGCATACCCAAAGTTAAGTCGTATAATGTCATAAATGTAGGAAATTGCGCCGAAAATTTGTGACACGATTAATGTAGATGAAGTTTTCGAAAAATGGATCTCCAAATAGACCCAAAAAATGTCCGTCTTGCAATGTTCCTTTATTAATTTCATCTCTTTACGTGTCTTTTAAAAATAAGTTTCTCGGTATTTTTCTGTAATTGAGTGGCAGAAAATGGTTGAGTTTGTCTTCTGGGCAGCAGTTTCGAAGGGGCGGGACCGGGCGTACTTTGTCGAGCACTTTCAAGGCGGTCCTCGTTTCTTTCTGTAAGTCACCGCAGGGCAAAAGGCCGGTTTTTTTTCGGGAGAAACTCCCCGCGCGATTCAGAAACCAGCTTTTCCTCCAGATTTTAAACGCCCAAGCACGCGTGCACGGACTCTTTTCATCCCACGGGCTGGCAACCGCGTTTCAAGACCGCCTATTCGAGACTTAAACGTGCACGTTTATTTATCGCGAGCTGTGCCGCGCGTTTTTTCGCGGAACGACGTGTCCGTGAAGAACACGACCCCCTGTAAAAACGTACGGTCGTTTAATTTACGCGCTGTCTGACGCTTTGATACCACCGTCCGCTGTCCCAGTTCGTTAAATTTCTCCTCAAAAACAAGTCTCTCTGCTTGAGAGAATCTACGAAATAGCCGTGAAATTTTTTGGATTTTTCGATATCGGAAAATTTGTTTACCTCCCTCAACGATCACTATCAGTATTGTAGAAAGTAGAGAAAACATGGCCACGTAGGGTAAAAGTGACAAAGTAGGGAGCAGAAGGGAGGGTATATGTGTATTCCGGACGCGACTTCACGCTTTCATTCGTATTAGTGTTAGCATGGTATGCAAAAGTCGTATCAGTGTATCGTATCTATTTTCATTGTGAAAACGCCGAAAATAGTTACACGTAATTTGAATAGTATAAAATGGTCAGTATCCTACAAGCGTTGTTTTCTTCAAATATTTTTTTCTCGAAGTTTTCAAACGAACGGTTTAAAGAACACTTCGAAAATATAAAGTTTTTCCAAGTACCTTGCACACAGGAAAAGAGATATCCTGTCCGACGCGAATGCAATAATACAAAAATATCTAACCGTCATACCAGTCAAAGTTTTGACAGTTGCAGATTCGCGGGACGCCGCCACGTGTCACGTACGTTCTGCAAACGTATGCACGGTGTACACTTCCGTCCGCCGGAAACGGATAACTTTCGAGATTCATAACGGAGTATTTCTACGGTGTAACTTCACGGTAACACTTTGTACACAGGGAACATAAACTCGAGTTGAATTACGAATGGCAAACTTCTCCGGAACGTATTTCTGCGAATATGTGTGTACACTAGACAGCCCGGAAGTTGTTCACGAAGGTTTTACGATTCGTATTTCGGTGATTTCAACGGAATACCGCGAATTAGCGACATCAGAACATACCATCCTCCCGTGAGTGAAATTACGCCTGAAATAATCTTCTCGTGTCATTTATTTACATAGTGATAATTCCATGTCAAATTACGCAATAGAAATTCTAATGCTCGCATAAGAGACACTTCGGTCGAGGGAATTTTATTATTTTATTGAACTTTATTTTTGAGGAATCGTTCCATCCTCAGGTTTACTATCAATACGACCACACCCTGTGCAACAGAAACTCTGCCCTACTTCAAACTTTCCTGAAATTTCGATCCATCGAATAGAAACGTTACTCGTTTCGCGGGCAGCAAGGAAACCATATTTCGTGTCCGATGATTTACAAAGCTACTCCGCGGCTCAACACCCCCTACTGCAGACCGTTCGACCTAACATAATTTTCTGTCTCGGATAATAAATATTCCAGGGGCGTTGGCTATTTCCTTTTTCTCCTTTTCCCTCCGTTTTGCATCTGGAATTTATGTGTATCAATTCCACGACGTCGGTCGGTATTTACGATAATGTATTTATCCGAAATTTCCGCCGATGGGATGCGTTTATACGTATAAACATATATATGTATACATACATATATCGTAATCTTCGAGGTGAGATCTGATCAATAAAAGTCAATGTATCCCCTAGAAATTCTCCGCGCCCAAGAGCAATTTTCAGCTTATCGTATCGCGTTAAGGTGATCCTTCGAATGCTTGTGTAAATCTATATAACTATATACATATGTACAAGAAAATTCTTTACTATCCGGAAGAGTAATTTATAGTTGGCAGCCTTTATCGTGTAGCACGGAGCTATTCATAGCTACGTATAAAATTCGTTATGCCCTTCGTTGCGATTCTGCACACCCGACAAGCCAATTACTTCCCTGATTCGGGTAATTAGCAAGATCGAATACGACCAAGATGCATCCGAATTATCAACTTTCTACTTATCGCGAAAAACGGGGTTCACATGGCTACGCGAAAAATTTCTAGACGGCCACTGACACAATTTTTACCTTCTTTCTACCGTGTCCTACTAATAGAAAGAGTAAATTTACCGACGCGCAGCCGACGCCAAGAAAAGCTGATTCGAAAAAGGTTACCTGCGGGACAGACCTTCGGGCGATTCCTCGAGAGTTCGGTGTTCCTTACGACTTCGCTCTCCGATCGGCTGAATCCTCCGCCACGCCGCCAGGATTCAAGAAATTCTGACGAGACCGATTCGAAGTTCCACCCCAAGATCCCCTGTCTGCGAAATCCACGGGAGACATCTCGCCAGTTTCTGCCGCAGGATATTAAAACTTCGCCCAGGAAATATATAGCGGCTGTCAACTCGCGACTGGATACGTTCAGTAGACGCCAGGGGGGTTCGAATAAAAATGCGAGTTAAAGTATACGCGTGTGTGGAAAATGGTGTCCTAAAGTTTCTCCTTTCGTCCGCGACCGCCGTATGTCTCTCGGAATTTCATCGTAGTGCTATGGTTAAGGGTTCGTCTTGATGCGTGCATTGCTCCTCGGAATTCGCTTAACCATTTATTACAGGAACCATCGTTGGAAAAAGCTCTATCACTTTGTGCTCAACAAGAAACAGTGTACCCCCTCCTCCCCATTGTACATTTGCCTGGCGCATGCAAAATCATGAGATTACCATTTTCCGTGAGAGTAATGAACCAGGTAAATTATTCCGAAGTGGTTTATCTCCAACCGCGATAACTGTTTCTTCTAACCGGGACTCTCTCCCGCTTATCAGCTCCCGACCGCCGCCCGCGTATCTAATTCGTAATGCGCCATCACGCGCGGAAACTAGTTTCGCATTGCAAGCGTGCGACCTCCCGCTAAATAAAAGAGAAACGCGACCGAAAACGGGATATCGAATAAAGAATCCCGGCTCTCCTACCAGTATGAATGAGAATAGGCTATTCTGGAGCCCGTGCCCCCCCCCCCCCTCACCCACCCCCATCATTCTTTATCATCCTTTTTCCGATACGCTTACACGTTCTTCGGTCGATACGCGTTTCGCGTTCGGCCTTTCGCTCGAAAATTCTTTGCAGGACCACCAATTTCCATAAAATTATTACGGGGCTGGTGTGCTCCACCGGAAATTTGCATACCGTGACCGTGTCGCCAGCGCCCGCGAATAAAAAGCCCCCCTCCGCCCCTCACTGTCTCACTCCCTCGCACGGTTTCGATCTAAACGGGTTTCCGTGTCTCCATTTCCGCGCAATTCAACGTCGCCTCGTAGAATATTTACCGTCTTACCGAGGCGAGTATTCCGCGAAACCGCGCGGTTCCCTCCTGGTAAACGTCTGCATTCGCAATCCTCGGAAAATTCGCGATAAATCTGCTTCTCGCGGCTCTTCCGCGGAGCTGTTGAAAATGTACAGCCGGATCAAGACTCAATTGGCCGCTGCAGATTTTCCCGAGAAACGAAACGGGCGGGTGAATATAGTCCCGTGAAGCCTATCGACAGAAGAAATTATTTTTGCTCGAATTATCGCACGCAATTTTTAAAGAAATTTGAGAAAGCAATTTATTGTTCGATTAAAGGAAGGATTTCACGGGAGAATAAAGATGGCGAGTATAGTTTCTATTAAAAATTTAATACATCTCTTCCGTAGCTTATGTTGCGAATACACTGACATACAGTAATAACAGCATTATATCTATTGTCATACTGATATACAATTAATAAGTCCGACGCAATACTGTCAGAGCATAAATTAGTACAAAGGACGTCTAGTAAATTGTTAACAATTCCATGAAGATGTTGAGATACGACGTTGTTCAGAATATTTACAACTTTTAATTGGAATAATATTCAATGGAGAATACAATGATTCCTGTATACAGAAAATACTAGTCGTATACGAGTTACGTAACGTCGTACGGAACGTACACTCGATGAATTAAGTACTTCGTGTTCCCACGTGATTAATGGATAATAGGACGAAAGTTAACGTAAAGACTTCTAAAAAAAAAGAAACGGTTACTGGATTTATACAACATTGTAGAGGAGCATTAAAACTGTAGGGGAAATTACAATGACTCAAGGAACACTAATGTCAATAATGTTACGATCTATACATCTCGATCTTTTATACGGACCACAATCAATTGGGAAAGTAGCTAAAAGGGAATAGTTTAAAATATTCGGAAGCATACCAAAGCGTAGCAAACCGACTAGTTTCGACTTCTCTATCTATTTTCTTCTTTAATTTGTCCTCAACTGGTAGTCCCCGTTCTGTGTGATGTACCGTACCCACGGCAGTGCTTGATACCCGCTTTTCTCGATAATTTTCAAGTAACGTACTTGGATACCAGAAGTCGTGAAATAGGGGATCTCGAATTTGACTTGAATCGGCGGTTTCCCCTCCAGATCTTCACCAACAACGGACGGTAAGCCAAAGTGTGCCCTCATCAGATACTCTTTTCCTCCAGGAAATGACTTGATAAACCAAGTTATGGCGCTCTGTTCTGGGGAATATTTGACACTTCCGATAGTGGTCTTAAACTTAGGGGAATCTGCATCGTTTGGTACCGGAATTACTATTTCTACATTGTTGGCAGTCGAACGTCTCTTAAACTGTGATCTCGCCTTTATCATGTATTCCACTCTGCTGTGAGCATGTCGTTCGATTACAGATTCGATCCATATCAATGGTTTCACGTGAGTGTTCAGTCTATACGACATTAATTCGAATTCACCGTCAGGAGGAATAAAAGAGATTGTTCTATCATTTTCGAATCGAGACAGTCTGACACACTGGTGAAATTTAACATCTTCTAACTCTACTGATTTGGATTTTCCACGTCCTGTGGACTCGAACAAGACCTTATCGTTAAGCCCAAGTCTTAATTCAGGCATTCCTGACAGATAGACTCTCATTTTTATGGCACCCACAATTTCAGAACTCAATACGTTCCCATTGGCATTCGCAAGAAGGTTTACGGATTCTATTACATCAAGGAAAACCTCATTCTTTCTGTACTTGATACCTTCTGATCTCCAAGACACAGCATTAGTCACAGCCATAGGAATACGCGGTTGAATTTCAAGTTTATGCCCCTCTTGGGTAATGTACTCTTGCAAAATTTTACTATCTGTAGTTTGTGGATAACCAAAATCTATCAGCTCATCTAAGAGCTCATAAATGACAACAAAATTGTCCCTTATGCTCTCCTCTTCTAATTCCTTAAAGTACTCTTGCATGACTTGGACCAGTTTGTGCAAGAATACAAATACTAATGAAATATTGGCATTCTTTTTGGTAGTTGAGACAATATAAAGATTATTGTACTTTATGTACGCATATGTACATTCATAGGTTTGAATAATTGGAGTCAGATTTCCCTCCTCCTCGCGTTCCATCACTAGGGGCATGAATTTCTCTATAACACCAGTCTCTATGTCCCCACGATAATTTCGTGAGATCAAGACCTTCCCCTTCACATCTAATATATATATTGCTGATGTCGACATCTTTACGATGCGTCAAACTGTAATGAAAAAGACCAATTTTGTCTCTTCTCAACCATGATACAGTTTCAACATAGTGCACAAAGATAGATGGATCAGAGGAGGAGGTGCAGTAGCATTTAGTGAACAAAATTCTGTACATCAATAGAGACCATGTGAGGTTATGTTATCGAATATAAGAGTAGAATCAAGAAAGTCACAGATTACAATGAAAAAATGAACCTACAATCCATAAGGATTAATATCTGCATACAACATGCAAAAGCGTAAAAGAGGAACAAGAAGTGATCAAGCAACGAATACAATTTGACACTCGACAGTACAACATATATGAACACAAGTCACAAACAGAAATCAGTCGAATATGCACGTACTAACCTGTACTTCCAGTCACTTAATAGGTAATAGTTGGTTGGTTATTTCACATCGATAGTAATTCCTCTCTCAGAAAATGATAAAAAACACTTTTCTTAACGAAAGACCTTCCCCTCCCAACGGCCCGACTGCCACTGTGGACCGTCTTGAAGTTGCCACGAACCGAGTACAATCGAAGCGCATGCGTTGCCAACTTCTCGCTGGATATCGATCGCCTCTCTCATCCGCGTCATTCGAACGTTTTATTGACGGTAATATTTACTGGTACAATTTTTTCAAATTCGATAACAGAATATTAACCCGGTTTTACCGCAGCAATGAAAAAGATAATTTAATAGTTCGATCCAGAGAGAAAATAACGCGAACAGCGTACAATCGAGTTGTCAAATCATAAAATTCACTGTTCTTTAAGTTGAATGGCTTTTGAATTAATTCCATGACTTTGTTACGATAATTAAACCTTTATGATAGTTGGAGAAATTCTGATTAATAACCATTTAATAGTAAATTATAAAATAAGAAATATAACTTTCTGAAGCTTTTGTATTGTAGAAGCAAGAACGAATGTGTCTGAAAGAATAGTTTGTTTTACAAACTTAATCATTGTTATTCATAATCAGTAAACTGTGGATGTCTATTACGTCTTGGAAAAAAAAGGAACTATATCGTATGGTGCCGCATTTCCGGAGGCAGTGGGCACATTTCAATGTTACGCAGCAGCACAATGGCCGTCGGTGTTACGTAATAAAAGTGTAGTGCACCGAAGTAGGCAATTGTTCAGCACAAAAGCGCATCCGTCGGTGGTCCGTGCATCGCGTCACCTATAAAGTGTATAAAAGAACACCGGGGGTGATTGAACCCCGTTTGACTGTGAACTTTGAAAAGAGAATAGGTAGGAGACAGTATCGTGGTACCAGTCACTGTCACATGTCGTGTACCTTCCGCGACCATGTAAAGTCATCTGAGCATCTCCAATTTAATTAAAGCATAATAATAGGCATCGTATCGCTTAAGTAAAGTATAAAACAACGGAAAAATTGTGGAATACGAGAGTAGAGTAAAGAATTCGGGATTTATTAAGAGATTCAAATTGTATTCGACTGGTTAATTATTAAGTTCAAGAATGTTTATTTCGTCAACTCTCGAATATATTTACCTTGGCAGCGATCGACTCCTCTCGAATCGTGGCACTGCTTGCGCGAAATTCCACGAGAAATTCCATCGTAATTGAACGAGGCTGGCTCGATTATAAAGTCAAATTATCGATGGAAAGGAGTAGGAGTTCTTCCGCCATAGGGAAATGCATTTTCCTTCCTCCAACTCTTTACCTCACCCTCTCGCACTACTATAGTCCCTTTATTCTCCTTTCGTTCCCTTTCAAACTTCTGTTTTTCTCACCTTTTTTCTCCAATCGCTTTATACGTACTTCGGGCAGGCACGTATTTGAAGTAGAAAATAATGAAGAAATTACATTCTTCAGTCGATCGAAATCGTAATTCATTGAATAATAGCATTAAAATAATTCATAGAAGCACTCGTGACGGTATTAATGGGAATCTAACAATATACAATCAGTACAACCAATTTTTGATTATTAAATTTCTTAAGTTAAATGAAAAGTGATATTATTTTTGAAATTTTTCTTTCTGCAAAGTCTCGTTTTGTCGTTAACCCGTCTCAGCCTCCATTCTCCTCCCTCCGTTGTTTCTTGCAGCCAGGTTTTGTCGCTGTTTCTTTCGGTTCTCGGTTTATTCCCAGGCGTCGGATACGGATCCACTGGTACAGAGCAATCCTCCCGGTTCTTGGTCTGTCGGTTTCTGGCGGATGAAACGTCCATCCGAAGATAAAGTGGCGGAATACGGGGGTCTAGATCTCGGCTGTATTACACGTTTGTCGGTCGAGCGGCCTCCTTCGGGAAGCTGTGCGCGAAGGTCTGAAAGTTAGAGCCGCTCGGGGAATCCGACGCGACCGATAATTGAGACTCGGAATTAAATTAGCGGAACTTCGATTCCTCGAACGTCCCCCGTGTGACTTAGTTATGAACGCGTTGCCTTGCCTCGGTGTTTTTCGAGCGTCTAATCGACGGAAGAAATGGACGGGTGCGCCACTGAAGCGAGAAAACTTCCCTGAGAAATAACTCGAGCATTAAAATTATTCAAACCAGTTTCTCTGCAACGTTGTAACAGTTATATATTATGCTATTTGATTTTTAGAAAACAGATTTCGAAAAGTGGCACCATTTCAATCTGATGTTCATTAGATTTTAATGATATTTAATCAGGCTCCCAATTAAAGTATTTAACCATTTAACTCCCAGTGTTGCACCGGTGCAACATTCATTTTAGAAGTGCGTCAAATTCTGTCGCCGGTTAGTATCTAACTTTTCTCAGCAAAGGTCCACAGCTTCGCAGATGTGAAGTAGATCTTTGTGTTTCCAGTTGAGAAATTCAAGTATTTCCTCGAAAAATAAATAAAAAAGGTCCAATATAAAAAGTAATTAATCTGTTAAATATTGATATTTTCGATTTCAAAATAACAGGATAGAACATAAAGATAGTATCAGTCTCATAATTGTGAAATAACTATTTAAAGGGTTGGGTGTTAAATGATTAAACCAGTTTTAATTCGTAAGTGGTCTCTAATATTCCAACAATTTTTTCATAATTCCTAGCACACTATCTACTTTTCTCGTCAGAGATTCCGGCCTTCGCCGGAATAAAGAAATGAATTATGTTTCAAGATATCCGGCCATTTACAATTTTCGCGACTGCGAATGGTTGCATTTCTGTCACAATATCGTAGCGTCGAGATACGAGATTCGTGTTAAGTAACGTCAGAGTATCACGCAGTACTTTTATCGCGGAACAACGCTTGAAAGGCCGCGAAACTTGCGCGAAGTTAACGTTAAACGATAAACTTGACAAATCGTTTCGTTAGCGGTATGAGTTACGTGTTCGAATCGTGTACCCGCGCGTTCACTCACTCTCCCTTTAAAATGAAAGCCCGCCCCTTAACTGGTACGCCCTTATCTACAACCTTCAATAAGCACGCGAGTATTATTCGCGAATAGTAGGTGTATACCTGTATCTCCAAAAGAAAGTTTATTAAAATTCCAACTCCCGAACGATCGCAAACGAGGTTCGCTTGAGATCTGAAGCCAAAATGCAAATTCCTCCAATTTAATCATAATTCTGCTTACATGTAGATTAAAATCGAGTTAGAACTGCACAGAGATACAGAAAAATGTTATAACTAAACCTGAGCTATCCTCGAATCAACAAGAGAAATTCTCAGGAACCAGACCGTTCAGTCCATTAGCCTAAATCCTAAATTGTTACGTGGGTGAGAAACAAAACAAAAAAGAACGGGGAGAAACTACCGTTGTGTGTATATCGCCGTTGGGTTTAGACGTTAGAGGTGGGTAGGTGGTCGAAGCAGGAACGTGAGGCGAGGCACTGATTGCTGGAAGGAAACTTACTTTGCCCGCAGGCAAGCATTCCTCTGATCAGACTTCACCCTTTTCGCCCCATGTTCGCTACCGCCCCCTCTTGTATCCCTCGTGCACCGTTCGCTGCCAATACGTCGATCTCACGCTGTTCCTCTCCTGTTTTCAGATGGGTCAAGGAATAGCTGCTCAAGCTTCGAGAACCGGCGATCGTCGCGGATCGACAAGGGAACCCCGCCAGAAAGTGGACGGTGCTTCTTCATCGGCATCGTCCGTATTTTGTCATTCACTGGATGTGTTGAGTGCAATTTAACTTGCACGCGAAAGAAAGACCGGGGTTTCCCTCGACAGGGGGTGGCGGAACACGGAGGGGACACCAGTGAGAAAACCCTTCTGCGGAGCGGAGAAGTACGGAGGAGGCATCGTTTTGCATAACGAAGTTACCAAGTGATTTGTCGGCGGCGCCCTGGATGGCCTACGAAGTAGCTCGGAAGCCGTTTCTGCGCCCCGATTGGAAATATTTTTCCATCCCATCCGGTGACGGGCGCACCGCCTAAGGTACAAGCTTGCAATCTTCTGATGTTATGGGGCGTACGCGACCCACGACGCGAATGTGCTGAATAAAGGGGGCGGCAGGCTGTTATACATATATTTTGTAGACGACCGGAGGGATTTGGTTTAAAGAGTGTGGTAGACTGTAGCGATCGAACTGAACGTCGCCCATCTGATATTATACTCGAGTTCACGAGACTTGGCCAAGTGGGCTTTGCGTTTTCCAGTGGCGATCGAGGGGAGATCGACTTCTGTTAGGCGCGTCTTGTACGAGCCTTAGCATTTGTCATATCGAACTAGAGGGCATCCAAAGAATACTTTCAACGTAAATGAGATGCTTCCAGATTCTACTTTTTGCAACAAATACTTTAGCAACAAATACTTTATGCGTATTTTGAATGGTGTTTAGTGGTCAGTATCCTGCAGGCGTTGTTTTTTTCTCGTCGTTTTCTAGGTCATCGATATTGTTTTTTATGTGCTATAATATGACTGTCGAATGATCTGTAGATTGAAAGAAAACCGTTGATCTTGAAAACTTCGAGGAAAAAGCCACGCCTGCAAAATACTAACCATTTAATACCATTTAAATGGTATTAAACGTAACCGATTTACGTGCAAATATTTCTTGCGTTTTCTCAATTAAAAAGATATTCGGGGGGTTCACACTTACATGAGAAACCATGTATATGCGTTTACTTAATACAGGCGATTAGTCTTGTATTAGATTACACTGCAGATTTGAGTGACGTGGCAAAGTGTTAACTGCTGTTTACACCAACATAGAGGTTATATAACTGATACCAAGGTAAATAATATGGAAATGATAATTGTTCTATTTCCTTGACCTGCCAAGACTTTTGAACTCGCGTGTACAGTTTGTGTTGCCAATAGATCGACTGGTTCTGCATCGAAGTCACTCATTAAATCAATTGTTTTAAAATACGCAGCCCTCCTCGCTTCTGGTGATCATCTCGGCGATCTCGAGGCTGACTTTCAGCTCTGGCTAAAGTCGCGTTCCACGGTTATGCTGGTGGCGTCGCTTCGGGTGGCCGCCAGCAAATGCTGTCATGCTCTTGTCATGCCAGCCGGCGGCCAAGAAGAGGCCGCTGGCCACGAGGTCCTTGAGCAAGTCAACGAGCCACGCGTCGCCGACAGGCAGCTGCCTACTCCTGATAGCTGTCCTCGTTCTGATCAGCTGCGGGGGATCGCTCGCGGCCACGCAAATCCGCTACGCTTCGCGCATCGTCGAGACCAAGAGCGGACAAATACGAGGGATTCTTCAGGTAGGTGTATATCGATTTCTCTGCTCTCGTTTCCCACGAGCCCACGGCACCGTGAAAAGCTTCCTGGAAACGATCATCGTGAGATTGAATCGAGTATCGATCGTTTGCTCGCTATTTATGAAACAAATCGCGCGAAATGGGGTAGAGCGCTATCTTTGCTGGGTGTTCGAGAGACGTTAGTTTCATTCGCGATTTTAATTACGAACGTGTTGGATATTATAGAGTTTTTAACTTTGCACTCAACTCCGCTTATTTACGTTTGTTTTTGAAGCGTATACAGAAAAGTGTGAGTTCGTTGTTTTCGTTATTCTTTTAATTGGTAAATAAGAGAGGAACAAGTCCTTTGAACTGGCCTCGAGGAGGAAGCACTTTTCTCGGTTGGTTTTAATTTGTTTAAACTTGCATTCCGTACAGAACTTAATGGGATAAAGATGTGTATCTAAAAGGAGTAGTCCCCTTGCGAGAATAAAACCGAGGGAAAAACGGGATGCAGATAAAAACGGGGGAAAGAAGTTTTAAGGAACGGGTGGAAAAAGGAAGAATTCCTCTAAGAGTTTTTCTTCTTCAACTTTTCAAGTTTTGAAAGCAAACCAGCCTTTTAAGCGGAACTCATTACTGAAATTTCTCTGAGATCTAGTTTTCCACGATCTTAACGCCGATAAGGACAACTCGAAAGAAATATGTACAAATCTTTCGTTAACCGTATTTACAGAATTTCATGCGAATTTATGTGCGTCTGACTTTCGACGCCCGAAGTTTCGAAAGAAGGAAAATATGTATGTATTTTTCCGCTTTAAAAAGGCACGATAACATTTTTAAAAGGAATCCCGGAATAGACAAGCATCCATCATACACTCAGGTTTGGTTTGCATACTGAATGCATAATGCGTGCACGCGCACGGAATCTCAAAGGGTCCTCCGTAGCGAGAAGCAGATTGTATCGCGGGGTAGACAGGATCAAACAACGAATAAAATTCGCATGCTCGAGTGCGTTAGAAGGCTTGGCCGGCGAACGATATGAAAATGCGGGACTCGGGGCACGGTGTCGTGTGCCGAACGGGGCGAGAAAGGAAATTGACCGTGCTTTGAGCATAAAACACGTGTCCGATGATATAAATATATGTATCCAGATAGGATAAGTGTCGTCGCGCTTACACATGGAAATCTTCTCGCCCCGCCGGTATTCAGGAAATATTTGAGTGTATGTATCGATTTCTAGCATTTTAGCCAGGGATAACCTACGGGGAACTATCGACGTTGAAATGGTTGCTGGAGTTCGACTATCGGATCCATTGTAAATATGAATCCGAAAATGTCTACACGGATACCCAAGGGTCTTGTACTTTCGAATCGAACGTCTATTCGGTAATCGACTGTTTAGGACTGTCAAAAAGAATTTTTCGCTTCAGTCGACTCGAATTGGTATTAAAAATGTATCTTATTTTGTTCTTCAATTATTCTTAAGCTGTAATTCCACGAAGTCACTAGTAAAGTAATTAACACACGGGTTGAAGTGTTCTCGTTCCACGTAATTAGTTTAATAAATTCCTGTCCACGCAATATTATTACAAGTTTGCAAGAAATATAGCCGCGATTGTGTTCAGACACGAAACATTCTGTGACACGTTTTTATTCACGTCGGTCAGTCACGGGAAACACGAAGCCGATCCGACGTTTACCGTGACAGTCGACGAACAGGACGGTGGACATTTATTGCGTTTAATAGATATTCGTGGCCGACAAGAGAAAAAAATCGTTGAACGTCCAATGATTTTATAGGCGATCCTATCGCAGTGGACGGAAAACGAAAAAGCCAATTTCGCCCCCGCGAGAAAGTACCCGCGATTTATCGAGCAGCTTTTTATTCAATCTCTTATCGGATCGCTTCCGGATGTTTAAACCACAGCCGCCTTTTGCTATGGCAACACTTCGCTGTTTCTCGATTTCATATCCTGTAATTTAACAAGAACGAAATTTGAAATTATAATTAAATATTGAGAGGCTTCTTTCTTTCAAAAACAAACACTTCCGTGGACTCGGAAGTGAAGTGTATCTTTATATTTCGCGGATATTCATGCAAATTTCACGTCTTCGTGATTCATTTCACGGACTGTAGAATCGATGAAAAATTTGTGTCGAGAGATTAATTGAATTATACACCACAGTCGCTAGATTTGAACTACAACCAAATACAAGAATTTTTCATTTTCTAGAAGAAATTTATTGAGGAAGTACGTAAGACTTTTTTGATATCAAAAACTTTCTTCTCTGTCGACGTTTTTGTATAAAACCAGAAGGTCAAAATCGATTTTATTCCAAATGTTCACCATTGTTACAAAACTAAATATTCTTAAAAAATCATATTTCTTCCAGTTTACTTTATTATATGCCTAGTAAAATTTCACAAATATACGTATGATTTTGAAGCGGTCAAAGTAGGCTAAGCCCTCAATAAGCTTCGAAGAAATTCATGTATTTGCCACTCTGTTGCACCATGATGATTCATTGATTCATTCTCGATATATACGAATATCTGGGATGGAGAACAGGAAAACAAAAAGGGAGATGGGACAAAGACCGCGACCACGCGACATACAGAAGGGATGAATACACGCGGTCGGTCGTTTTCGGTGGACTGCGGATCCGTAATTTACAGGACGTTTTTAGCCGTGGCCGCACTGGTCCCCACGGTGGATGGATGGATAACGAGGAAAGTTTTTCGCCCGGGACGTGTCCGGTGGTCTTTATATTACATCGTAACGCGTAGCAACTCGTGTGCCGCTCGTATTTCGTCCCGTTCGTTCGGTCCATTTCGCGCGATCGAGTGCCATCGACAGAAGGGGAAAACCGTTGTTGTGTCAATCGTTCCTCTACATCGGTTCTCCAGTTTGCTCATCTACGCCCGAACGAAGGTGATTCCGTGAAAATGTTGATTTCCAGGGACGAATCAACGCATTACAAAATTAACAGTAAACCTACCGAACCCTTCAGAAAGGTGGGAATAAGTACACCAAAACCGTTCATTTTAACCGGTCGTGGTAAGTTTAGTGTTAAGGGCCCTAATATCGAGTCGCTGATTTTAATAACAATTTTGAGATACGTAGTAAGGCTCTTCTTCGTGAACCATCCCTATATAAGGTCTGAAAAGCTTGTTGAGTTAAATTCGCTTCTGTAGTTTTCCGTGTACTATATGTACGTGAAAGGTATGTTGACCGATCGTGTTCGCAGAAAGGAGGTTCGAGGCAATGGTTCGTGGTCTTTACTGTGACGACCAGTGTTGAAATACGTCCCAAATACATCCAAAAATATTTGGACGGGGCGTATTTGAACTGTAGCCGCATATGGTAGAAATCACGAACGCATATTGCCTCGATGCTACAAAACTTGCGAATAATCGGGGCAACATAATACTTCTTAAATATTTTTGAGTATGTGGTCCTATATGGAGAGTGATTTGTAGAGAGGAAGAAGCATACTATATGTCCAAAGCATTTAATTATAATCGGCGATCTGAGATTGAAGCCCTGTCCTTCTTAAGATCGGTGGTAGCTTGTTAAAACGCTTGCGAATAGAGAAACTAAAAAATTACTTTACTAAATGATCTACTTAGAGCATTAACCAGTAAATTACAGTAGTTGTTAAATTCTTTTGTAGTCTTTGGTTTTTTCTTCGTAACAATTTCTCCTTCAGTTCGTGCAATGAAGTTAATATCTGCATTAATAATTGCATTACTCGAACAGATTAACAGTTTAACGTGGCATTCTGTATACACGAATGGGTAAAAATTGATTCTCCGAGATCTCATCGAGCCCCGAGTCGTTCACCGATAGCAGACAATCTGGAACAAACTCATTACGCATTTGTTCTGCGCCCCGGCACTTCAGCCCTCGTTTAAATGTCTCCTTCTTTTCTCTCCAATTTATGGGTCGGCGTAACGGTCGATGAATTTTTTTCTTTTTTTTTTTTTCGAGCATTTCCCAGTCAGAATATTTCTCTCCTACCTCATCAGGCTGAAAGGTCTCGGCGTCCCTACGATAATGAGAATTACGATCACGTCTCCGGCTCGACTGATTTCGGGATAGAATCGATGCCACTGAAAAGGACTATAATGATTCGACGGGATTACGCAGTCACCTCACGTATCTTGTAACAGACATAGTTCCCCACTTCGTATGCTGTCCAGAAGACTGAAGATGAGTGAAAGAGCAATTACTCTTCAAAAATTCATAAAAGTCCTCGTTCTACTATTCCTAAAGACACAGAAAAAGTGAAAGACCCCTAAAACTTCTTCGATACCAGTTACTAATCCCGACAATAAAGTTTCGAGAACAATTCATTAAAATACTTTATTTCGAAAATTAAACAGACATATCTATCATACACCAATTGAACGAGATTGAAGGCGATTGCCTTAATAAAATTTTTCAACAAATCATTCTCGAAATTTTATTGTCACAAATTCTGTACACCAAGCATTTTCGGTAGGCGTACGCTCCAAACCGAGAACCGTCCCCCGAAATTTCTTCGAGCTAGAGGTCGTTACTCGCGACAACGATTCACCCGTGAGGATATCCCATCGCGATGAAAATTCACGCGTGTACCCGTGGCCCGTTCGACGGAACGTTCCTGGACGCGCGCAGGGCGTCGGAAAATTCACGGACATTTTCATTTCCGGGCGCGTTTACTGCTCATAAAATCCGTTAACGCGCGGCAGCTGCTGGCGCTGCTGCTGGCCCGAACGCGTCCCCGTACAATCGGCATGTAAACTGCTAAACATTTTATTACGCGGTCTATTGTCGGCGTGGCGTTGCTAACGCGGACGATGCCACCAGGGCTGTATATGCCAGTGCTGGCCAAACCTTGTCAGGACAAGAGCCATATATCGCCTATCAAAAATACTCGAGAGCTCTATTGCAACAGTATTAAATTGTGAGATACGCTTACAATCTGTGTAACACTGCATAATAAAGTTAAACTTACAAAAATATCATATTACATAGTAGTATGTGTCAAATTCATAAAAAAAATATTTTATAGTATTTGGGAGCCGCAGTAAGGGTCTGAAAGAGCCGTGTGCGACTCGCGAACCGCAGTTTTGCCACCGAGTGTATATACAATGTTCGTCGTTCGTTGATGGGGGGAGAGTTTGTGGGAGGTTGTGTGGGGGTTGGGCGTCGACGTAATGTCATCGTTCCGTAATTATGCCCGGTATTACCGGCCCGTCTATTATTATTGCCAGATTGCCACAGAGAGCATGTGTGCGTGTGTGGAGGGCAGTTTGACCACGGGACTAACGTAACCATAATTACCCCCACCCCCGTGATTAAGGGAACAGGATCGCGGGATGAAAAGCACCGTTAGACGGCGAGTTATGGAAAAATTTTCGCCGCTAGGAACACGGGGGTGTGGGCTCCCTTTCAGCCGTCGGCGATCCCACGGGCTTCCAATGATTACGCGTCAATCGTTATTTCCTGAAAACCGACGGGGCTGGGCGAAATACGTTAAACGAACGGGCTCTGGCTCCGTACCGCGTGCGGCTTCGAGCGACGAGATAGGGCATGCAGAACTGGTAGACATACCGAAAATACGTAATTTTGTGAATGATTATTAACGTGGTTATTGTACTAATAATTATAATTTTGTTTATCCACGAGGCAAAAGCTGATTGAATTGCAAGTTTTTTTATAAGTGAGAGATTTGTAAAGTTGCGTGGTGTATAGAATATACAGGGTGAGTCAATAAGAACTAGTATCTGAAGTAAGTCATTACCTATTGGTTGTATCAAAAAGATATTTTAATGAATCTTCTGGTTTCAAATTTGTTTATGTTGAATTTTTGTATTATTTCGTTATAGTTATGACTGAATAGGTATAGGTTGAGTCCAATTTATATGCGATGAGACAAAGTATCCAGTATTGAGATTTTTCGATCTATCGTTCGAATTTCTTCGAGTGTGGTGATCATATTACCGATGTATACTTAAGTAACGTGCGTGTAATAGAGTAGTAAAGGTGTGGTATGGTATTGGGGCTTTGGAAATCTCTTCTATCTTTAAGTATGAAACCTATGGATACATTAGCTTTAGATACAATGGACATTAATCGAGGCACCTTGTGATTATAGAAACAGATGTTCAGAATAAAATTATAGGGTGTTTCCGAACCGTACAAGTTTCAGAGGACTGGACAATTAATTGATTTCTAGTAAGAATTATGATTTTTCCTTTTCAACGGATTGTTCCAACCCGTAGCAATAATAATAAGTAGGGTATCATCGCTATGAATACCAAATGATTCTACAGTACTTTCCACCGCCAGTCCAGAATACGAATCTCGAGTCACCAGTCACGTGACCAATGGTCTCGGATGCAATCTACCCGAAGGAAACCTAAATTACCTTCTCCAGCAAAGAGTCACTAGCAGACAAAGTGCAGTAACAAGTTTTAATGACACAAGTCGCTCAACACTTCCGACACGCCTTCGAAAGTTTCCCTCAAGTTTCGTCGTGACGGTCTTTCCTTTTTAATTTTCGAAGTTCCCGTCCGTTTCTTTTTTTCTTTCACCCAGGGTAGGAGGGGATAATGCAGCCGAAACATATTTCGAGGATGCTGCGCGTAATTTCACGGTATGCTTGTGTGCACGATCCTTCTTTCACGGAGGCATTAGCGGAAAATTGCTCGCGTGAGCCATGGAGGGAAGGGGGAACGAGAGAGAGAGAGAACCGGCGGCTCGTTTCCTCTTATAAAACGTACAAGCAAGCATCTCGGATTTCCTGGTTGCGATCTATTTATCGCTGTGGCCTAGATCCGCTTTTTAATTCTTAAGCACGCCCGAGTCGGGCGTTCGTGCGTGTCCGTAAGTGCATTATACAGTCTGAAGTTGCAGTCGACGCAGGGCCAATGTTCCTTTTCTTTTTTTTTTAACGTTACGTGGCGGCCTCTCGCAACGTTTCCTTTTTGTTTTTACAGACAGTAAATTATTTTGTCGCGAGCCAGCGCAAATATTTGCTAGCCTCGAAACTGCGAGCTTGTGAAACCTCGCCCCTAGACGTGTTTGCAAAAATTATTTTAACGGCTTCGCGGTTCATCGAAGGCATTCTTCGTGGTCAGAAATACGAATTAAAATTCTTCTGGCCGCTGTTGTTTCCACGATAACGCCTTTTGTGGACGGTATATGTCCCTTTTATGTACCTTGAAGCACCTCCACTTGCTTGTCCGACGAAACGCAGGCGTATATTACTGACTTCTCGACGATGTCCTGTAATTTTTAGTACAGACACATCGTTTTGGAAATAACATGAGATTTATGTTGAATATTCTGAGTTAGTGAAAAGGGAATTGCGAATTGCTTTTTTCCAGCGGAAATCTCTTTATGATGGTGGATCTGAATACTGTCGAATGTGAACAAAAAAAATTTGAGGCGCGAGAGAAAACGGGAAGAATTATTGTACGAGCGCGCACGGGCTGTCGCGGCCTATCAGAAATCAATCGCCGCGACAGGGGAAATCGGCGGTCTCACGAGGATAAATAACCCGTCAACACCGTTGCCTCAATGTATTTTCCATGAACGAGCGACGAGTGAAAGTCGTTAATTTTTAACACACTCGAAAATACACGCGTGAACGAGGTCGAATCGCCGGGGAATGCAATTTTTAAATATTTTCCCTATATTCCGTCTCTCTGTCCCTCTATCTCTCGGCACGCCCGGTTTACTCTCTCGTCCCTGTCACGATTGTTATTCCCTTTTCAATGACGAGTTCGATGTTAATACGAAAGCGTGATTTCCATCGTAAAGCTTTGCGTAAATTTTTACCATCAACGCGTCGAAATGCCCCTGTAAAGCCATCCCTTCCGAAAATTGTCAAAATAATCACGGATTTCGAAGTTTCATCCAGTGATATTTCGTTGATAAAATGAGAAATAATATTTCGACCAATTACCTTCAATATAAATCATTTGAATTTTTCGTTTCAATATCGAAAAGTGTAACTTTTCAGATGATTCATTCGTTTCGCGGCCTTCTTACGGATAACGTTGCCATTTAGAAAAATTTTTAAACCCGGAACCCCATGGTAGAAAAGAAGATATTTCATCGATGCCGACATAATTACAGAGTACTCGAAGGGGGTGGGTATGGGCGACAGGAATAAGGCCAAGGGGGCAGAGATTTTTTCACGTCGTTCCATTCCTCCCCCTGTCCTTTTTATTATTCCCCCGGTAACGTCGCCGGTCCTCCCGTTAATGGGAATTCGTGATTTTGAACTCGATGCGACTCCATCGTCGTTCTGAATGGTGGGCTTGGGAGAAGGGGCGGGGAGGAGGGAGCGATCTGTTCCTCGCGGCACCCGAAGGTGCAATTAACGTCGACGCGTACCAAACGAGATTTATTAGTTCCTCCAGTATAATTGCTTCCAAGAAAGCCGGCGAACGGCAACCTTTTTCCCCTGTACAATTACGTTCTAACGAAAGCAATTATCTCCCCCCCCCCCCTGGTCATGCTGAACAAGAATTTTGGACCAGTTTACGACCGGAAGTAAACAGTAACATGGATGGTGAAAATATATCGATTACGTATCGTGAAGTTAGTGACTAGAGTAATTAAAAGAAAGAATAATATGAGTTTCCTTAAAAAAAAAGATAAGAGGAAACAATTAAAATGTATTTGCGATATGGTTCGTCTGTTACGTATTCTCTGTAATTAATGGTTTGCAATGTCGATTTGAAAAACGACTAGTTAGAGATCCACACGGAGATTATTTATTTGCGATTGGGCGTATCGATGCAGCGCAGCATCTGCGGATTGTTGCGATTCGGTGAAGCTCTCGTAAACCAGAGATAATCGAAACGCAGAAGGTAATTAGGTAATTAGTTTCCGGCAACGCGGCCGCGCGCCGGCCAGATTCGTGTGCATAAAATACAGGATTTACATCTAACTCAATGTTGCAGGGGCTGGCGATATTACTGTCAGTGATCTCCCTATCGGTCGGCTGCACACCGATTGAACTAACGAGGTACTTTCGTCGTTATTCGCGCCCCGTGAAATTCATACGGCCAACTTGAAACGACACACGAACCCGTGGGAGAGCGGGAGAGAGAGAGAGAGAGAGAGTTATTAGAGATACGAAAATTAATTTATGCTTGGCACTCTGACTGTTTCTGTTATAGGAATTAAATATGTCTGGATTTGAATTGAAGACGAGATGTAGAGAGTATCCTTACAAATTATTATACGATCATCAGAAAAGTAATTCGTCTTGCCGGTTAGAAGCCAAAAGTACGATATCGAACACTTTTTAACGAAACTTCTTTGAGAAAATCCTTTCTGAACATTTGCTGACTGTCGTTTTGACTGCCACAGTGAAAAAGGCCGTACGTAGCCAGACAAACTTCATTTCGGGTTCTAAGTCATAAATCGTTGAGAATTTGTGTTTAGTTAATAGAGGTTGTTGGCCTTGTTTTCGGTTATACGGTAATATTAATTTTACAAAAAATTTTGTTAAATTAATTAATTAATTCATCCTTTTTTTAATGTACGTGTCACCCATATTTGGGTGACATGGCAATCAAAGCGTTAATAAGCCTGTTAAATAATAGTTTAATTATGATCGTATTGTTTGGTAACATCCATGTGATATACTCAATTATATTCAGAAAAAAATGCCAAAAACAGCTGTAACTGTTCTACGTGATATAAGTCAACGTATGACGTATGCACGAGCCCCGATAGAAAATGAACGTCTCGTCCAGAATTTAATTCAGTCTTGAAATACGTTGACATATTTCTTGTCGATGTTGTATTTTCTTTTTTATTTCTACAGTAATCGCCGACTCTGCTGTTACAGGAGTTGAACAGCAGACACTTCGATCCCGTCGAAGTGTTCCGAGGTGTACCGTACGCGGCGGCCCCCGTAGGAGATTTACGATTTCGACCACCGATCTCTCCAATACCGTGGGACGGTATCAAACTGGCGGACTCCTTCGGCGCGGTTTGCCCCCAGCACTTTCCCGACATCAGCAATGACACAGATGCACTCTTGCAAATGCCTCGGGGCAGGTATCAGCAGCTGAAACATTTGCACGTGTTCCTGACCAATCAGAGCGAGGACTGCCTCTTTCTGAACCTGTACATACCCGGGAGCGGTGAGTATTACACCGTCCTTTCTTGAAACCCTAAATTGTCCTCTAATTCGAAAATTATTCAAGGAAAATTAATACCCGCAAGCGTAATTGAAATATTGCAAGATTTGTTAAATACGCGTAGTGTCATTTAAATCTGTAGAACGAAGAAGAACAGTGAACAGATACGGTAACTGTAATCGATAGGCTAACAGGAATGAATGAATCAGTAAAATGAACATCTTGTTTTGTCATTATATATTATGATCAAATAGACTTTGAAGAGTAAACACGGAAAATTGTGAACTAAAATTGACTTACCTTAATGTTAGTTAATGTAATAATTGCATTTTAAAAAACCGTATTTGTGTCACGCATTATTCACACTAATTAAATTCTCAGCCTCGCGGTTCCAAAGAGAATATTCGGGATTTACTCGGTGTATGATACTTGTAATTAATTAGTCAGCGTTAGTAACACACGGCTATGAAATTTTCAGCCAATATCTATCATCTGTTTATGGAACAGTACGGTATTACGGGACAAGTTACTTCCTGAAGTAATTAGTCCTGAAGTAATTAGTACCTTTATGCCGGGTATTATCACCAAAGTAAGGGCTGTGCTCGTATATCATTCGGCGACTGTTAAAGTCGAGTCTGCGTCACAGACTATATTGAATTGTCGTTAAAAAGCCCGGACTAATTCCATATTAGTGCAGAAAAGATCTCTAGGAGTGTGCTTATTTGATGCAGAAGGATGAAAAATTGGAAATGTGTATAAAAAGTATAAATTAAGATATCATAACTTCTACTTACATAATGATATTTTAATAAACAAAATCTGCTAATAATCCTCGATACAGCCTGCTTCGAAGACACTATTCATTCATCAATATAATCGACACATCATTAGAGAAAACGAGAAAAAATGTCCCCATCGTATTGGTTCGGTGTTCCTAGTAACACTGGACTTGAAATGTCTTTACGCGATCAGAAAGTTTATTCCTCGTTCGACAACGTTAGTGCTTTGGTCGAATAATGAAAAGAAAATTTCGACTTTCATTCTGGTTCAACTGAAAGTCCAAACAAGGAGGGGGAATAATTTTTCATTCAGGCCTCGGCGCGGCGGCTAAATCGAGCAACGTGTTCCGCGTTATTATTTGGCACCTCGGACGAGACTGGGCCGCGACAAACGTGGTCCGCTGCCAATTAAATCGGCCGACCGGATTGTAACGCGATAGAGAAATTCAATTTTCGACGAAACCAATAAAAGCGACGTCGCGCGCTAATCGTCCACCGCTCGTTTCCGCTTTGCCGCCGATTAAAGAGCGATATTTAGCCGCGATAGAAGCGTCCGATTAACGATACTTCGGAGAGATATTACGGTGACGGCGAAACTGCGTGACACACCCCCTCACCCCTCCCTCAGACTAATTGGCCGTAAAACCGTTTTCGATAATTGCGCGTGTCCTGCTTTTTGTTGCGTCGCGAAACGTTTGCGAGCCGCGAAATAATTCTCGCCTGAAGTAGATTTACAATTCCACGCGACGATCTCGATCGCGTGCGCGATAAGGTTGCTGGTTCCAAAAAGCAGTTTTTTTATATATAGTTTCTTATCTTGAATTACTTTATTCGCGAAAATATTTTCGAGTTCAGGCGTTGCATAGTAGTGACACGAGAAAACGTGAAATTGTGGTCCTGGATAAAATTAATTTCTCTTGGGTAAATCCAGCCAGTGGGACAGAGCTCCGTGCTATTCAACCCTTTTTTGGTGTCCTTTCTGTACAACTGTCCGGTTCAATCGGTAACCTCGTCCAATTTTCGTTGGCGCGAGAACAGCTAATTAAACACGGAGACACCACGTCTGCTCGAGCACTGACTACTTTCACTGAAGTGCATGAAGTGTCTGGAAAATTAAACAGAACGTAAAGGTCGGTTGACCGAAATATTAACAGTACCAAGGACGCTAGTCTATTAACTGAGAATAGTTTTTTTTTTTAAAACAAATACATCTCTCTGTTTTATCTCGTGAGTAATAGTACAGTAGATTCTTGATAAGTGCTCGGAAAGATCTGTATGTTAAATGCTCTGCGTCATCCCTACTACTGGGGGATTTCCACTTGGAATTAGTAAATCGAGTAATGTAATACGCCAAAGAATTTCCTAAAATTTTCATTAACAAGGAACTGAAACTAGAAAAGAAATACTGTCATCGTTGCATTAACGTTGTCTCGCCGATACGCAGGCTTTCAATCTTTATCGATCTATGAATTGCCGTGGCTCGACCCGAATATTTGTGAGACTCAAAAATTGTGTCCCTCTACGATAACTGTTTCAAAACTTAATCGAAGATTCACTGTAGTATCTTATTTTCTGTAAAGATAACCATACAAGAAGGATACCGATATTCCTAGCCTATTTGGATTCAAAGTGCATTTCACTACAGATTGTGAATGTTATAGATATGTAGAATGTATTACTTAATATGATTGTGTATTGTTACAGGTTCTCGAGGATTAGAAGCACCGTACGCGGTGATGGTGTACGTTCACGGTGAAAGTTTCGAGTGGGGCACCGGGAACGTCTACGATGGATCCGTCTTAGCGAGTGCTGGCCACGTTATAGTGATCACGCTTAATTATCGTCTAGGAATCTTAGGTTCGTACCCTGCATATCCAATTGCAAACTCAATATAACAACATTTCATATACGGCAACCTAATAATTACACTCGCCCCGGAGACCCATAAATCTGCGGTGGGGATTAATATTTCATGGTCCCCTAACCGTATTCAATTACCGTATCCCGGAATAACCGTGCACCGCGACCAGAGTAATCGAACAGCAAGTATACGATACACGTAAACAACTCTATTGCGAAACCAGTCTCGATAAAAACTAGATTTCATTCACGCTATATAAATACTAGCTTCGTAGTTTGCCGTGGAGCTCCGCATCGATTCGTGTCGTTGAACAAAAAAATAACAGAGAAGAGGGCGTGCTGGGGGTGGCCAGGATAGAATCGAAATGGGGAAGGGGGGGGAGATTCGCGATGGGATAATAACGACGCCGAAAATATTTGCCAGTATGCCCGTTCCCCGACGGTATCTTCAACTCACGAATCGCGCGCTGGCTGTGTTCCAGGCTTCCTGAGGACCAGACCGTATCCAGACAGGAGTCCAGGATCGGGTGGAAATCTGGCCCTGAAGGATATCGCGATGGGATTGCGGTGGGTACGCGAAAATATTGCAGCTTTCGGCGGGGATCCGACTAAAATCACGCTGATTGGCCACGACACGGGCGCCGCTTTGGTGAACTTCCTGTTGCTTGCTCCTTACGGCAAGGGTAAGCTTTCATTTAATGTTTTTGTTGGTTTGTTGTGATTGCTCGTAAACAGTGAAGTCACGACGAGCCAAAGCTGGTGTGCGAGTGGTGGGCAGCTGGTTTACTCTTATTACAGTAACTATCACTGTTTGACCATCTTCCACCCACATAGAGTTCATTTCGATACTCTGATATGGGAGTTTCTCAGGAAAGGGTTTTTTGTGTTAACAGCATTATTCTTCTTAAATTGATCATCTTTTGTTTGAACGAAGAAACATCGTTGCTCCTATGAAACCATAAGCTTCCGTTTGGTTCGTGATCGAATTTTCGTTTCTGTATTACGGGATTTATTATATTAATAATAACACATACAGTAATGGACACAAAAGTTACCACTTTTCTGATTTTCTTTATTTCTATTATTTCTTAATATCAAATTAATACCTTAACTCAACAATAATTAATACCTTAGCAAATGGAAAAAGTGATAACCTTGTTGTTCACTACTATACATAAGTGCAATTAACTTTTAATGAAATTTTTACTTCACTACGTTCTGAAGCCGAAAGTGCTATAGATTTACAAAAGATGTTCTATTACGGATTAGAACCACTATTCAATATTATTCCTTCCATCAGTATAACAATAATAAGCCTCTATACAACAGTAAACGCATGTAAAACGATTCTCGGGAGTGCATAGTGCACCGCCGTGTACGCCAAAAATCGATCCCGAGGCTCGTCGAAATTCGATAACAGTGACGGATCGCCTGCCTAAGAGGAACGATCAGAATCGAAAACGGTGGGCGGCGGCGGGCGAGGGTACCGCTTCGCCCGATGACGAAGGGCCGTACAATAACGAGCGGGCATCGAATGAAAATCGATCCCCCGGAATAGAGCAGAAATATCGCTGTCGGGCACGATTAGAGGATCCCCCAGCCCGGGCGACACTCGATAGATTAATCGGCGAGAGATTAGTCCGGCGTAACCATCGCGCGAGCCGACAATCGAGATAGTCGAGAGATCTCGCACGAAGAAAAAAAAAAATCGCGAAACTGTGACCGTCGAGGAAGGGGGGGTTGGATTGAGGGAGAAAAAATTGCGCGTATCGATCTCTAGCGAAGAGGGGTTGGGGCGTGGGGGCGGTGACAAATTGTGTGGGCTCGGTTTTATTCCTGGAGAACCGAAAATGTATTTTTTATTGGTACCGTACGTCCCCCGGCCAGATTGGTGTTTCCGGTTCGTTTCGAACAGCGCTGAAAACTCTCGGCTCCGATGGATTCGCGGAGTGACAATACCCCACGCGAAATGTTAAGGGGAAAATAGACGAATGCCGTCGCGAGAAGTGCAACGTAAATATTCGGTGGCGGTGTTGTTTCCGGGAGTTACCCAACCATATCGTCAGGGATGTTATTGCGGGCTGAAGACGAGTCGGTAAGTTAACTGAAGTAGAATTCGCGGAGCTAGTTAACGAACAATTGGAGGGCTAATTTGATAAATTGTTTGCCGTTGCTCGTCGTGACTCTGTTGTTTGCGTATGCCGTGGAGAAGAGCTTTTAGTTTCTCGTTGATAACGTCATGGAGGGAGGATGTGTATTATTATTGGGGATGAGAACTCGTCCCTGGTGAAGAAGGAAATTGTTAAATCGGCAGTGGTAAATAGTAGACATACAAACAGCCTACTTTCGAAGGAGTTGAAATAGATATCAGAGTAGCAACAGGAGAAATTAATCAGTCTTACAACAAGAATCAACTTTTCAGTAGTAACGCCAGATATCGGTCAGACAGAGTTTCGATAATTCTGTCCTAAGCCTACACACTTCGTTGAAATCTTTTTCTCTTCTTTTCAGTAGAATTGTTATTGAATTGTCCAGACGAGACTAGTCGAGTTAACATTAGTTTTGCTACCTCGATAAACGTTCCAGTCAATTCTTCCGCGCCGTTCAACGTCAGACGAGACGTTGCGAAGTAATTTCCCGAAAGTTCCGACGAATTCACCGCTCCCCTTCGCCCCGGTGGCGATTCGCGAAACGAACGGACACACGGACGGACTGGCCCCCGGAAAGGGGGCAAAAAGCAGGGGTGACCCCCGGGTAAAAGTTGTCCGGTCGAAGCATCAACTTCCTCCCGGCGAGCTCTTCGGGCAGCACTCAAGTGCATTCTAGCGGCGCCATTCCACGGATGGATCGGAAAGCTCTCGTTCCCTCTTACACGCCGGAAGTTAGTCGTCCGGCCATGGTATATCGGGGGCTTTCAAAAGGAGGCGAGGACCAAAACGGAAAAAGCCACAGCAACCATGGACTCCGAGAAAAAGAGAGAGAAGCAGTGGTTCCGCCGAGGCTTCCTGCGGCTGCTCTTAAAACGGAAACAGCGCGCCAGCCGAGAAAGACCCCTCAAGATGTAAACTGTTTGCAGGGATTCCGGTGTTCCCAGAACCTCGCCAGGAAATGGGCAGACGGGGGAGGGGGACGGATTTCGTTCAGACAGGCTGGGCACGTCGGGAAACGTCTCTGTTTCACTCCCTGTACATTAATTCTGTGTTTTTCACCTGCCTCGGGGACTATAAGACTCTGTGGTTTGATGTATATACAGGTAAGGAAGGGTTGACCGACGATATTGCAGGATAAACAAGGAGAGTATAGAAACTGTAACAGTGGAATCGATAAAATTGGTCGGACAATCGATGCACATACTTCGAATTTCACACAGGTGTCAGAAAAATGTGGATTTAGGACAAGAAGTAGTAGAAGAAAGTGATCTTAGTCAGACATTTGTTGTGCCTCGAATTTCACACATGTGTAAGAGAAGCGTGAAGACAGGAGGGCAAGAAGAAGTAGAAATAAGTGAAATTAGTTGGACAGTGTACTTGTATCGATCAACGGTCTGGTTATTTGTCCTTGAAGTAGTTAAGACCGAGTTTCAACGGGTGTAGCTCAAAGAATTCAATATTGCATCCATATCACACAATGCTCTCGTATCTTCTTGTCTAACTTCTAATATAAAAAAATCGGTGAATATGTATTAAACGTTATGTGTACATAAATCTGTGCGTGATCAAGAGGAATATATAAGCCGGAAGGGTTCGATATCCCCCACGCGTCTTTATGCCGCCAGTCGTCGCGAATCACGCTCGAGTTCTTTCCTGATTACTCCCGAAGCCCAATCGTTCGACCGTGGCTTTCACGGTTGCCGAGAGACATCTCAGAGATGGCGGATGTCGGGTTCAAAGCGAAAGCGGAGAGAAAAAGGACGGACACTCCTGTCTCAGGAGTGAAACGTGTCTTATCCTTATCTTATTCCTTCGGCCGATAGAGCGATCCGTGGGGACGCGAAGAAAGAAGTTTATTTTGATTCTTGAATTTAATTCGAGATGGATGCTGTTTTGCGGACTTCTGCTCCAGTGCACGCTCGATTTCATCTCGAGGCGAAACCTGATAAGGAAATTGACGGGCTTCGAGACGAGCTCGTTGCTTCCGAACAAGCGACAAGAAATAATGTGAGATAAGAAACTATGAATCTGAAACTATTTCGCCGTATAGACACGTAAACGGTGAATTCGAATAAAAAATTCTTTGGGAACCTTTCGAACAAAGATACGAAACAGAGAATAATGGGAGAATTGGAGTATACAGTAAATCATCGATCAGTGTCCGAAGGTTCCTCAGCAATTAACATTAAATATTTCATAGACTAATTGCCATATGCGTCTGAAACAAATAATTTTGACTTGAGAATACCAAACTCTATCAGTGTGCTAAACCTCATTAGAAGGTCAGCGTTACACCTGGGGACCTTTCCTTGTCAGTACCGAGGAGCCTGTGAATACTCGTCGATGATTTACTGTATTAAGAATAATCTGTTAAGTGATCCAATTAGGGTCCCAATGAATACCAGAGAATCAAACTCTATAAACATTCCATAAAACAATTTATAATGAAATGTAATATTCCTTTCTACAAGCAATATGATTCATAGAGGTCTCCAAAGGGAATCATAGGTCGCAGGATCCCGGGATTCATAATGGCACCCGTGGAGATCGTACCAGTCCATGATTTGTATTTCATCCGCGCGTTTCCGCGGCCGGAACTTTCCGAATCTACATTTCTAAGGCGTAACGACGTTTTCACGTTCGGCCACGGTAACGTTTCCGAATGATCGCGCCATAAAATTTTCCGCGGTACGAACGAAGCAATTTGCATGCGGGATGCGACGTTTAATCGTGCTGACGAAACGATAAGAAGCTTAGATGCCCTTTCGAGGCCGCAAGGATATACGACTCTGGACACACCGGTGTTATAGTACTTGCAATAAAAGCCGATGGAATTGGATTTTCACCTCGACAATACCATCAGCCTATTAAATTTTAACAAAGAAAGTTTACGAGCTCTCATGCAAGTTTGAAATGCTGTTGAAAGTAATCGTTTTTCTCCGCTGACATTGATCCAGTGATAAAAAATGGATAAGCTAAAATTACCTACATGGACTATATTCATAACTCTGATAATAGTCTTTATCGGATGATAAAGTTTTTGCAGTTTCCAGATTTTGTCACTGTCAAACTATATATGCACTCACTCGGAACACTTGAAAGTACGGTTGCGTATGTTTAAACAGACGCTTATCTAACAGAAAATTGACTGGTGTATAACACTTATGGAAATTAATCATTTAAAGTTTTGAAAAAGTGACCGTAGTATGAGTGTCAAAGTCAATTATTCGAGCTTGTTTATTTATGAATTCAAATTAGGCACCAGAGGCTAATTGAACCATCCCCCACATTACCCAGAAGTCGCACCTTCGGACTATCATCTTTTCTCGATAGTACACGACCATTTAGAAAATCGACGATTCCAAAACCGACAAGTCTTCGGAAGTGAGTTAGAACACTTTTTTAATACATACCAGAAAGGAAAACTTTTATAAGAACGTAATATGAAGGTTGTTAAATCTTTGGATGAAGGTAGTAAAAGTCGAAGGTAGCTATTTTGCTGAAATATTGTTTGATCCACATTGTGTACCATTTATATCTATCGATTAAAACGGCACGAACTTTCTTGGTTACCTAGTATTTTAACAATATTTCAAGTGGCTTGTCTGACCATGAATGACCGTGTCTACTGCGCGCTGCACTTCTCGCTCCATTTGAAAAACAGTATGTCCCGTAACAATCCATCAAAACTAATATTCTCTGACAAAGACAAGGCAATTTTCTCGGTTATTTCATAGCTATTTACCGCTATACTCGAGCGTCAAAGTACGAAACACCGGTGCTCCGTATGAGTTTTCCGCCCAGCGAATATTTCCGTCCGTGTTTCGCGAGACGAGCCTGAAAGATGGCGTATCCAAACAAATCCCGGCCGACCTTCGAGCATCCAGTGACTTCGCGCGGAAACGTTGAAACGTATTCAGATTAATTCCGCGGCGCACCGCCGAAGGGGGAATTACATACAGGGCGCGCAATAGATGTCCGATTCTAGCCGGGTCCGTCGAATGCAAATATTTGACCCTTTACAGTCTCTCATGCGAGCCGATGTAATTTTCGGAAAACGGTTATTTGCCCGTCAGACGACCGTCGATTTCACGTTTGATCGTATTTTCGGATTGACGACCATTTTTCTCACCTAACCGTGTCTCCACTTTTTCCACCCACCGGAATAAAGTGATATAAAACACGCTTGTTTGGGCCATTCATTTGTGTATCGATCAAATTCGATATTCGAGTCGCTCAAAGCAACACACACACACACACACACACACACACACATGGCAGCGTATGGTAGTTAATATTACATTACCAATTACAACTACGAAGACTCCCCTTTATAAATATTAAATGTACACCGCGGTATATTCACGAGTTACAACGGAGAGTCAACATTTATACGCGAGCGTACACGTAACCACGTCGATCGATTGGCTTCAATTAATTAGTTGCACTCGATAATCTAACGATGAGAATCCATTTTCATCGTGGAACGGTCGTTGACTTCGTTTTCGACGGATATAGTATTATGGAACACTTCTCGGATGAAAAACGAGTGAATGTATTGTACAAGAGGGAGGAAAAGGTACGAGGATCTGCGTGAAATTACAGACTTAGGATAGCCAAGATTATGAGGAGGCGATCGCAGGAAGTCTGAGGACGGATGCAGGGGGATTGTGTGCTTTTCGTTAGCGAGACGGGCAAAGATTAAATGCAAACAGGTAACCGTGACGATAATAAGGACGGGCTTCGAGTCGATGCGTTGGGTGAATTTTGATGAATCGGTATCAACCACGCCAACGAGATTCACATCGCGAATTACAAGAAATTGCGACAGTTTTTTCCTTCTAAACGACTTGGGTAGATCTCCTAATCACTGTCACCTTAATATTACAGCGTAACTTCATTTAATCATTTCACGTGTTGTTTAACCTAAACATTATCTTAGTTTAGAATATAATATTATTTAACATCTATTTCATGAAAAAAGACAGTTTTATACGTTTGATATTAGTAACGTATGTGACAAGTGATCTTAGCAGTAAGATTTAACGGCGCCGAATAATGCGGGCGCGACCGAAATGGCATTTTTCTCGTAAAGGCAGGGATACGTTGCCATTCCGTTCAATGTGCTCAGATTATGACGTTAACTGTGTCCCAGTGTGCTATAATTCCTCGCCGGTGCCATTTCGGTCCCCTTGAATATCTTTTATTATCGCGTAAATCTCGTTGAGCTATCGCGGATAACGACCCTCCAGTGTTGATGTTGTAATAACTTCGATGTATCCGCCACACCCTCCCGCGGTGTTTCAATGCGTTTTTTCCTGGAGGTGCTACAACGGCCCCCAGCACTCGAGACGACCGAAAGAAATGCGATTCGTTGTTATCATCCCAACGGCCATTGTGAAAAGTGCTTAAATGGGGACATTATATGGGATCAAGGACTTGGCGGGAACAAGTGAAGTGGAAATGTGCGAAATTAGTCAGACGATCCGCGTAGTCCGTGTTAATTGAATTTGTGGAACAAATATGAAGATAGCAGAGTATTGAGGAATAACACCGAGAGTAATTAGTCAGTGTGTACATTTTAAACGGAGCTACAGTGTCAAGTAGTGCGACTGAGTTTGGTCAGACGCGTGGAGAATTTACAGTGACTCGAACATTCGTTCGTACAATTCCGAAATAACAAGAAACTGTGATAACTTATTTGTAATTTCTATTCATGTATTAATTTATTTATCTAGTTGGCATACTTATTATTATTATTTATTTAACGTACTATTGTAATGAGTTGTTCTTAATTTTGAAATAAAATTTAGAGTTTTGTACGGAATTTGGTCAAGTAAAGATAACAGCCTTTCGTGAGCAAATTTGTAAGTCACTGTAGGTCGAAAATGTTTTGATACATATTGTTTTGGTAACTTCTTTTACCTGTACGTGTAGTACTGAATTTCTGTAGACGTGTACATTTCTCAGTTTTATAATATCTATATAGCAACCGTTGAGGGTATTAAATGAATAAATTATCCTCATTACTAAGAGTTAAATGCTTCTTCACAGGACTGTTCCATCGCGTGGTATTATCAAGTGGTTCCGGACTAAGCCCGTGGGCCTCCGTTCACGATCCAAACGACTTACGGTTAAAAGTGGCGCAGCAAATAGGATGCTCCGCGGAAAACGACGAAGATATCGCCGACTGTCTGCGTGGTATTCCTCTTCGCAAGCTTATGGCGGTTGAACTTCCGGAAATCCGGTAAGATACTAAATGTTTACGATCTTATCTCAGGCTTTTCTGAACATCCGTGGACGGTTTCGGCTCATTCGGTCTCGTTCTGCCAATAAACAACATCCATGAATTTCTTTAAACTACCTAACGGGCCAATGAAATTATCCCCAGACACAATTTAACAAAAGTGGCTAGAAATTATATACTACCTATTTAATATCATCAGATTAGTCTTAGTACCACTTCTTATAAAACAAAATGAGAGCCACAGAACCAGTAGTTGACGTTCGGTTCACTGACAAGGGAAGGCATGGAAGTGTTCCCCTCCGATTTTTATGAAACCTCGTATGTCTGTTAAGCAGTTAAAAATAAGGGTTACGTATTTTTTTTATCGGCTGAGACGTAACTTTAAAGGGTGAAACCACCCCTCGAAGTTTCGACCCGAAAGTACTATCTCGAAAACCAGTGGAGATACATGAAAACTTCTAATGGACGAGGTTTGCGGTGTTTTATGTAGAATAATACGGTGATAACAAATTGTCGAAAATATAATTTGTTTGTAACAAAAAAATTTCGGATCGAAGCTTCGAGGGGTGGTTTCACCCTTTAAAGTCGCGTTTCAGCCGATAAAAAAAAATACGTATCCCTTATTTTTGACTGCTTAACAGACATACGAAGTTTCATCAAAATCGGAGGGGGATACTTCCGTGCCTTCCCTTGTGAGACACACTTGTCAAACTTCAATCAAACCCACGGACGCCCAATTAATTCACGGTTCTCGAATTTACCAATGTTGCCATAGTAGCATCGATCTATGGCCATTCTAGGCACCGACTTATCACGTAATGCTAACCAATTCACGATGCAGATTCGTGCCTCGAATTGGACCCGGTTTGCCAGTGGACCAAAACAATCCGGACCCAGGTCTGGACATGGAACGAGCCAGCGACACTTTCATCAAGGTGCCGCTGATACTGGGTGTCTCCACCACGGAATCGAACCTCGATTTCAACGCGAACGATATACAGTATGGTTTCGAGGAGGATCATCGTAATCGTATCCTGCGAACGTTCATCCGAAATGCGTACGTGTACCATTTGAACGAGATCTTCTCCGCGGTGAGGAACGAGTACACGGACTGGGACAAGCCCGTTCTTCATCCGATTATCATCCGGGACTCGACCATGGAGGCTTTAAGCGACGGGCACACGGTCGCTCCCCTCATGAGGATCGCTTTTTACCACGCCAGGAGAGGAGCCAAGACCTACTTCTACCATTTCAGCCATCAGACCAAGGACAGCGGAAACTCGCAGGTCAGTGAGATAAGCCGGACATTCGGTTACCTTTAAAAAGAAGTTGTCAGAACGATTCATCCGCCAGGTAGATCCTTCCCAAACTTCGTGGCGACCTTTTAAGCTGCTTTATCGTGTAATAGCCATTGCATTCCAAATGATAAGTGTGGCCTTTATTTCTAATAGGTTATTTCTACAGAAATTACACTTTCATATCAGGTATTCCTGTAGTCAACTTTCCACTCTAGATCGAAAGTATAAATATCCATTCTCAACTAAGAGGCTTACATCACTTCAAACGATACAGTGACTCACTTTGTTCACAGGAAGTTATTACACTTATTTGACCAAGGAATATTTATCGCAATAGGAGGATATAAGTAAATATACATAGGAACTGCAACCGAAACGAATTGTACCATCCTAAAAGCGCAGGCTCATAATTTTGACTTACGGTATAAGGAGGCATGTTCTTTTAAGATCCCACTTGAATCCTATCGAAAGCAACTAGTTCGTGCTCGAACCGTGATTTCTGACCACCCTATTAAAAACAGCATCGCTTTTCCTTCCCCATTTCTCGATGCGCTAGAAGAGGTGGTTCTCTCGACGAAAGTAAAGTTAAACAAGAGAGAAGAGGCAAAGAAGCACTTCTCGGTTCGGGTTAATTCAATCGCGAGAGAACGCAATCGGGGCTCGCGCGCTCTTGTTTCCTCGGCGGGCGAAGATTGCCCGATGCCACTCGAATCTTCCCGATTTCTCCCCCCGCCATCGATTCCGCCCCCCTTCGTTTCGAACCTTTCGTTCGTCCCGCTTAACCGCTGCCCATGATTCCACGATGAAGCTACTGATTTAATCAACCGTCCCCGAGAGCCTCGTGGATGACGCTCGCATTATCGCCCGGGTCTTCTCCGCCGACTTGGGAGACCGCCCAGGGTTTAAATTAAGCGTGACGTTATCCCTCGAACTTGCCCGCCCGCTTGGAATCTCGAAAGTTACCGTTATTAAGCCACCTTTCCGTGGCGCTCCCGTTACACCCTCACGACCACATGAATGGGTCAGTTTTTTTAACGAGGATCAGTTTGCACGGTGATTTACCCCGAATTCTCGGTCGAGATTGGCCGATCCCAATGATAATCGGAACCTGGGGGCTGGAAAGATAATTAGGACGTGTTTCATGGGTCTCAGTGATCCAAAAAGGTGATTATCGATGGTAGTTATGTTTGAAATGTATTTTTGTGGTACCATTAATGTTTCAAGATGATTATTTTACTTAGGTGAGGAAGTAGGACCTTAACATTAGATTAACTAATTAGTGGTCGACCATAATATCGACCTTCTCTACTTGAGAGTTTGATCAGAAATCTCTATTCTATTTGTATCACTGTATAGACGCCACTTAGCACTCTGACTTTCACTTCGTGGGTCATGCACATGTGGGCGACACGTATATTGCAAAAAGGCTGGATTATTCAGATACCTATACGAAATATTCACATGACATTAATATCGTAGTATAACTTAAAACAAGACCAATAACCTTTCTGAACTAAACGCATACATTTTCGACAATTTATGATTTAATACCTGAAGTAAAGTGTGTCTGACTACGTACATCCTTTTCCACTGTGGCAGCCAACGTGTTAGATGTGATCGGGAAACTTCTTGCCTGACCATATACTCGCCTCTTCTACTTACTGGATAAGTACCCCATTATGGACCACCGTATCAAGTCAAAGACCTATCTACTTGATTCGCCTAATTAAATATGATCTCCATTATCTGCTCGTTAAACGCGTCCGACCATATTCAATTTCTCCGCGACAAGTACAGTTCATAATTCATCGGAACACGTTCAACGGGAGCGGCGACATCTTGACAACAGGAAGTTCGGGTTTACTGCTGTAGTTCGAACTTGTCGCAGCTCCCGGGTTTCTCCGGCGACAAGCGGACACGTCGTAAACCTGGGAGTTTCCGAAGAGCCCGACATGAATCACAGCGCGGCCGAAAGTTAATAAGTTTCGCCCGGGGGTCGACGGTTAATAGCGATTTACTGCGTTCACCCGCCCTACCTCCGCGCGGCCGGCTGTATACACACAAAGAGAAATTTAATTAAACCGACAGCGGAGTACTCGCTTGAGCAACGTGGCCCCAGTTTAATAATTTTTGGTGTCGTCGACAGAGATCTCTTTGCAACTTTGGTATGAGCAACGGGATCCTCGGCGAATTTAGAGTCCTGGCGAGAAAGTGTCGCTCGTGAGTCGATAACACGTAAATATTCGAAAATTTCACGGACAAACGTGCTCCTGTGATTTTACTCTTTCGACGGTCTGAGCATGGCTGGCCTATTCTACTGGCTTTGGGTACGTCGCTCAAAACTTTAACCGTGTACAATGATATTATAATTACGTCAAAACCATTCTCGTGATATGAAACGTTCGTTGTAGAGGAATAGTGTGCAGGAAGATTCGTTCTGTTTGAACGGTTGTAAATTTATTGGCAGATATAATAAACGGGTCTAAATTTATTACGTGAATAATTATGTGGAACTGCCGATTAAAATTCACCGGCACCGCTGTACTCGTCAAACAAAACTGTGTGGGCGTTAATAGGGATTAATTGATGATGTCACCAAGTTACAAATTAAATACTCAGAAATTATTCATGTTAAGAATTTCATAAATTATAATATTAAATTACGTTCCGTAATTAACGATTCTGTTTCACTTTCGATATGTACTTGTCTGTTACACGTACCGTTTATTGATTTACGATTACGGAACAAGCAAATTGTAAATTTATCCAGAAGTGATTAGCTGTACTTCCGTATTTCCAACTAATGAAATAGTACTTCAGACATTAGGACAGCACGGCACTGCCTAGTAGATTTCTCTATAAGACGCCATGGCCGGAAACACATTACGTCTGGAACTACAAATCCTCGACTAAATGCTAATCCAAACCCGCTTCTTCGATCGTCGTCCCCTCTAGTCCATACACGCGCGTACACCAATCCCTCGGCCATCTACGAAGGGCCAAGACCAGCAGGAACTGCACTCCGTTGCTTGCGCAGCGAATTAACAGGATTTGCATCGTGACCCCGGCGAGAAACTCAAACAAAATTGGGCACGTTCCCGCTATACTTGCTGCTTTGCAATTACAATCGTTCGCCTCTAGTGGACCTGCAGCTGGTCCGTCGAATTGTTGTTGTTCTCCCAGCTGTGCTGGTCTCAGCCTAAACTCATTTAAGACTGTAACATGTCTGATATTATCCTCTAACGAAATTTCTTCGTTATTCCTCTGATACGACCTCGCAATGAAAACCAAACAGATTTTGTTTGAAATTATCAGAGTAACATTTGTTACAGCGTCTCGGAAGCATTCGTGGCGAGGACATCCCATACATTTTCGGCCTGCCATTGGTCGCCGGCGGAGCTTTCTTCCCACGGAACTACACCCGTCAGGACCAAGGCGTCGCGGAGGCGGTGCTCACGTTCTTCACGAATTTCGCGAAAACCGGGAACCCGAACGAACCGCACAAAATCGAATCAGTGGACTACGGGACGCCGAAAGAGAAAACGCGGTATCGCGATCTCACGTGGGCGCAGTACGAGACTGGTACGCAACAGTACCTAACCATCGGTGAGTCATATATATATATATATCATTGCTCGAACATACAACTTATACAATTTCTATAATCCTCGTTTATCAATAGCCCTGAAACCAAAAATGAAGAGCCATTACCGTGGCCACAAAATGGCTGTCTGGCTGAACCTGATACCACAACTTCATCGACCTGGAGACGACGACGTTTCTATGCGGCATCATCATTTTCGAGACAGGGGTGATCACTTTTACGCAGGTAAATATCTAGAATCCAAATGATCACCAACAATGGTGATCCTGATCTGAAGTGAATCCAAATGATCACCAACTTCAGGACCAGTAAGAGACGAATGGTACACCCCACTGCCACTCGTGGGAACGACCAAAGCCAGTGCGTCCTCGACAACAGCATGTAGCACATCGACAGGAGAGGACGCAATGGCCGAGGACATCACTCCCATCCTGGACGATTCGGAAGACGACGCTGAACTTCTGCAAAGACTCGCTTCCCGTCACTACTACAGCACCACGACCGCCCTCGCCATCACCGTAGGTGTTGGTTGCATCCTCCTGGTGCTGAACATGCTAATATTCGCCGGTATCTATTACCAAAGGGACAGAGACAAGAAGAGAGCAGCGATGGACTGCACGCCGAATGGTCAGGAATCCCTTCCAATGACCACCAGGTCGTCTATGAAGGGCCCAGAAAGTCCCAGATCGACCCACGAACCGCCACCGTGTTACACAACCCTGGCCAGAAGTCCTTCGATCCAGGAACACCAACAGATCACGCAAACACAGTCGTTGGATTCGGACGACGCGGCGAAAAACGAGCTGAAATCTGACCACGGGACCAGCAACACCATCCACAAGGATCCGATACCGCCCAAACCACCGACCAGAACGACCAGCTCGCTGAGCACCGGTGGTAGCACTAACACCATCAAGAAACGCGTGCAGATACAAGAGATATCTGTATAGCATTAGGGGTTGCCCCAAGAGGGGAACACGAGGGCTAAGAAGGTAACTTTCGTGGACTTTGAGGCTACCGGCGAGTCGAAGTTCTGAAACCACGAACAACAGTACAGGATTACCATTTGGATCTTGTCTTGAGTAACTGTTCGGATTAAAACTAGGACTAACTAGTGTGGAACGAAAAGTGTGTCCTCTAGTGGACCCCAGTGAACCTGTGGTATATGCTAAAAAGACGTACGATCTAAATCAGTTGTAACCGAAAACTGAACTGATTCTAGGGTAACAAAAAACTCTAGAAGAACGCTAACTGCCATCTAATCGAAGGATAAAGGTGTTCCTCCAACGCTGTCTCTGTCTATGGGATCAGTACATGGTTCCATGTAGTCACTGGTGCCATTTCTTGCATGATCATTCTCGCCATGTGACTTGTTTTTTTTTTCCAAGACACTTAAGTCTTCTGTCTGATACGAGAGGAGAACGCGTGAATGGGAACAAATTAATTGACAGAATTGACTGTAATTAGGTTTAGGGGACTGTAAGCGATTAAAGCATTTTGGGGGGCTTTTCACCGCGACACGATCAGTGTTCTTTCAAGTGTTCTTCTCCGTAGTTGGCATCCAGGATCGATTAGTCGTTCAATGATCACGGAATTAGGCTGACCACTCGAGAGATTTCTAACCACACGCAAGACTCGATGGGTCGTCGTCTCTCTGTGTCTTTCCTATCCTCCCAACCTACTGAAAGTTGTGCACGAATTCGCACGGATAATCAATTAGATAATGTCTCTATGTTACGGGATCCATAGAGGGCTGAACAATGTCCTCACGATCTACATCGTAGCAGCGGTCCTGTGAACCTGTGATGGTCGACGTAATCTCTTGCGTGGATTGATCGCTAAAAAAATGGTTCCCGCCCGGAAACCTTGCGTAATTCTAATTTATGTAACACACGAGTAAACAACGTACTTGTAACAAAGATAAATTGACTAATGGTAATGTATAAATTGATTATCGTTCAACCTAAGAATTAATACATCCTTCGTTTCGGATATTTTTGTATCCGAGTGAATTCTGATTTGCGTAACGAGCCGACAACGTTCAATTGTATTTCTAGCCAGTGGAAATAACTTTATACGCTACCATTACTCAGCCTGTATAGTCATCTTTATAAATTCCATCGAACTCCCACCAGTATCATCATTTCGATATCATCGTTCACCAATGAAATCGAAGAAGAACGTGTGTATGTGTGTGTGTGTGTTGTAAGTACTCGGTATCGATAAGAACCCAAAAAAGAGCAGATCTCGTGATTGCGTGGAATCGCACGCGATTTTTATCGTGGAAGCTCAAAGATCGAGACTACATAGAACGTGAACGCTAATTATTTAACGGTGTAAGCTACTATTTTCAAGCAAAGCCCTGATCGCAACGTATGCTCAAGATGTAATGGTAACGCGAAGAAATTTCCTTTAAATACAATCTCCTACGACCAATTAATCTAAAGCTAATGCACGCCTATGCTTACACAATTAGCATCACGGTAGTGGTAATGAACATTTTCTTTTGAATCCTAAGAGAGCAAACTCTTACCACACACAACTGTCTCAAATTCATTCTATGATCAATCTTCCGTTGTCAAATTTCAAGTTTCTTCGTTATACGAGTTAGTGAGACGAACTTTCTGATCCTGACACTCATGAAACTCGCGTAAAATCAATTATTCAGATCGAATTCCCAGTGAAATTATTTGTTTAATTGTAATTGAAAGTGTATCGGTATCATTAATGACATAACGTCGTACTTAAGCAAGAACATAATAAACACGGTGTTGCGGGATTGTACTGTCGATTTCAATCATTCACAACACCATCGTTACGCGAACGAGATCAATGAGGAGAATGCGAATAAAAGTTGTCAAGTATTGTCCGCGAATGGTTCGAATCGCCAACACGTTCTAACTGTTCGTTGATTGTGTGAACGAGATATCAAGCACGGAACAGTGAAATTTAAATAGTAGATTAGATTAACCACCTTTGTAAATTTCACTGTAAAACAATAAAATGCTGATTTCTAAATATATATTTTGAATTTCGCGTTTCCGTACCGTTCGTGTTTCCGAAATTTACAACCGCCAAGGTCGCATCTGCAGGGACTGTATCAGGTAAAGTGTCTAAAAGAAATTCAGAAACTTGTTTGAATGTACACCGAATATATCAGATTCAATCTGCTAGGTAATATTTGTATCAATAATGACAGATCCTCTAAATACCCCTAACTCTACTTGGATCAAAGTTCATCAATTAATTACTCACAGTAAATAAAATTATTGCAAATAAATGATGTGTAAATAAAGTTATATGTAAAGATTCACCAATTGCCAGAAGATAATTGATTGTACGTATTAAGATTATTATATCACGTTATTAGATAAAAAGATATACAAACGACTAAAAAAGGAACATGTAAAAAGTAACATTACTGAAGTATCCATTAACGATATTATTGATTTAGAATAAATTATGATGTAGATATGTGAAAAAATATATACTTTTGCGCGTCATATTTTATTAGTATCATATAATTATATTTATCCTTTACACTTAAACCGTAGCATCGGATATTTTGATTCCCACCAAATCATATGAAATACACGTACAGTAGGAGCTCGTTTATTGTAACGTTTGTGGCTGTAGGGGGCCAAATTTCCAGGAACTGATCAATTGACACAATCTACCTTTTGGCCGGCGGCTTACAATTTCCCTTGTGGGAATGCCTTACCGTAATGAGCCATCTCGTAGCCGCGGGATTCCGGGAATCGGGTGAGACGTCACGACGTGCGAGCGAAAGCGGTAGAACGAGCCGCGGTATCGGTACTCTCCGTCGGTGTTGACGCGTGCCGAAGAATTTCGGGGGTCTATGGGGGGAGGTGTGCGAGCGAGAGAGTACGGTAGAGCGTGCCGCGGTATCGGTGCTTTCCGTCGGTCCAACGCGCCAGTGACGTCGCGTACCTGGCCGTACCATCTGGTGTTTGGGTCGTTCAAGGAGGAAGGTCGTTCAAGCCAGCAAAAACAATTCAACACGAACAAACCTGCGTACGCCCAATACATAACGGCGTTAGCTTCCTCACTTTCTCGTGAGCCGTCGCGGAGGGTGGGCGCGCGTCTCGTACTCGTCCTTTCTCTTGTTACTAACCCATTGTTTGTTGCAGGCATTCGACAACCATCAATTTATTTACTCTGCATATTGTTGTGTCCCCTCTCTTGTTACTAATCCCTTGTATGTTACAGATGTTCGAGAACCATTGGCTTCGATATTTATCTTCTTATGTACTGTGATTCATTTACTGTGATTTATTTACTGTGATTTCTATACTGTGATTTATTTACTGTGCATATTATTAATTTATTTATTGTGCATATTGTTGTGTCCCCTCTCTTGTTACTAATCC